GGTGGATGAAATCATAATGTACTCGTAAATGTAACTAAGCAATCGTTAATAACACTGCCGTAGCTCGCATATTTAGAATTTGTAGTGTAAAATAAATATTTATTACGAAATTATGAACAGCGTATGAATGAACGTATAAGGGGTGGGCCTTCTCGGCCCTTGCACCGCGACCTACAGTGGTCTATTGTGAACAGGTTAAATTCGAGGAATTTTCCCTGTTACACTTCAGGTTAGTTTTTTTTTTTTTTTTCCTTTCCTGTCCTTAGTATATTTTAATATAAATGCACTAAGTTACATATTTTCCTGTTTTTTATGTGGTTATATCTTCCGGTCTTTCTCCGCGGGGGAGCAATTTACGTTGAGGATGTGTCTGAGAAAATCCTGTTAAGGACAATAGTTAGATAGAGAACGTGACAGAAGTTAGAAGAACGTCCTAATCTATAATTTTCATTTTATGCATCCTGTTTTGTTATAATATACAGTTTGTTTATTAAAACCGTCACAACACAACTATATTAAGGTCAGTGCCTAGGGTTCGATCCCGGGTCTGGTCAAGTGGGATTTATGATGGACAGAGTGGCACTGGGATAGGTTTTCTCCGAGTACTTGGGTTTCCCCTGCCAATCTTCATTCCACCAATTGCTCCACAATCACCCTCACCTATCAACTGGGGCTGGTACAATAGGCCAGAAGTGGCCGCAGTACAAGGGACTTAGTCCCACCCCACTACCAATAAAAGAAAAGGTCAGTGTCTAGTTTGGTTCTGCTACATGTTTCGGCTACCAAAAGCCATCATCAGGCAAATACATGNTTGGAGGCTCGTGAAGTAGATGTAGTAATATAAATGTTAATTATTTAGCCGGTGCGTCATCTTACAAAAGTATTATCGGTTCTGTAAGGAATTTAAACAAGCCTGATGATGGCTTTTGCTAGCCGAAACATGTAGCAGAGCCAAACTTGGCACTGACCTTGATATAGTTGTGTTGTGACGGTTCTAATAAAGAAATTGTATTCCAGTTTATGGTATGTTAGGATGATCAGTTCTAGGAGGATGAGATGGGCGAGACATATAGAAAGTATGTTTTGCTGGATAGCCTGGAGGAAAGAAACCTTTCGCGTAGGTGAAAATAGATGGTAGAAAAATAAAAAAAATGATCTTAAAGAAACAGGATATGAAGCTGTCGACTGGATAAATATCGAATTCTTTTGAATGTTGCAATGAAAGTCAGGGCTACATAACGGGTTGAGGGAGAGATTCTTGGCTACAATTACACAATAATTACTCCGCTCGTTGCTCAGTGTTCAAGGTCAAATAATAGGAGCATATTTCCAGCTAAACAATTAGGTAATCACATCAGTAGCTAATACTTGTAGCTGGCATATTTAGAATTACTGAAAAACAAATTACCTTTACATTGAATATATAGTAGATTCACAAATCCGCGTTATGAAGACGTGAATATTGTAAGATTTGAGGCTTTCACGGCGGCGACTATGAAAAAAGCAGTCTTCTGGGATTTGGCACCGTGTATATGTGGTGTTAACCGACGTTTCGGAGGAACGTATCGCCTCCATCTGCTTTTACCGGTTCTCACGGTCTCTTCGCTTGCAGATTTCTTATATTTTTTCTTCTACCCTGAAGATGGAGGCGATACGATCCTCCGAAACGTCGGTTAACACCACATATATACGGTGCCAAATCCCAGAAGACTGCTTTCTTCACGTGATTATTGGTTTCCCATCACACATTCTTAAGTCTGGGTTCTGTTGAAAAAGATTTATCTGTGTCGTCACAAAATAGATAAGAGAGCGAGTATTCAACGTGTAAAGGTTCGGCCACACAGAGCGCTACGCTATGTTCGCTACGTACGCTACGTACGCTGTGTACACTCTGCGACGCAGCTAACATAGCGTACGGAAGTCTGTGTGGCCAGTCACATTGGTAATAAAGGGAGATATTTTTCTGTTCGTATAGCGAACATAGCGTACGTAGCGTTCATCGCGTACGTAGCGCTCTGGGTGGCCGAACCTTAACCCTCATCTCCAAACAACACACGACATTTCATAATGAAAGATGCGTTTTTCGGATGTCGTGATGTCAACATTCGGAAAAGGCGACAGTGCTATTCCTGTAAAACAGAACATCTGCTCACCTTTGTCGTCAGAATAAATTAAGGGAAGATAGTCAAGGTTTAAGAATGAACATTCGTTATAGTGTCTCGCTTCGTATAATTATAAGCCTATTACTATATTTATACGGTTTCACGACAGGTAGTGAAATAGCGTTTGTAACATTATCGGAAACAATTACTATATCTACAAAAGACGGAAGAGAAACCTTAATATCAGATTAAGGTATCTCACGAATGGTTGACAACTCATGTAAATTCATGTATTCTGTGCAATCTAGTGCATCATCTTCTTTTCCAGTCTACCAGATGTCACCTGAAGACAAGCAATTTATAAGCCAGCGCCACATGTTGAACTCAGCGTAGCCTGTCTCATACAGGTGTCGCTAGTTGATACACGATGCATATATTTGCGATGAGAAATGACGGTTAATATTGTAATACTTAATACAGAGTAGCATTAGACGCGATGCAATTGAGAACGTTGTGTTATATCTAGCTTTGATCTTACGTAACTGTGAGTGCTTTCCGGTGGCAAATGTATTTGAAGCACCACTGCGGGATATAAAATTAAAATAAGTAAATAAATTTATAACATGGGGGAGACGGGGAATGCATATAGGATATCGGTGGGAAGGCCAGAAGGAAAGAGACCACTGGGAAGACCAAGATGTAGGTGGGTGGCCAATATTAAAATTGATCTTAAGAGAGATAGGATGGGTTGTTATGGACTAGATTGATCTGGCTCAGGATAGAGACCAGCAGATGGCTCTTGTGAACACTGTAATGAACCTTTGGGTTCCATAAAATTCTGGGAATTTCTTGACTACCTGTTCAATTGGCGGCTTCTCAAGGACTCAGCTCCATGAGTGACTGAGTGAGCGAGTGAGTGAGTGAAGAAACTATTTCTGTAAGATGCTTTTCATAATAATGCGAGTGACAATTTTTTTTTTGTAAACGCAAAACAGCGTCGGTAACACTGAGAATTTTATTAAATGCAATATTCACATGTCTAAATAAATACGAAGCCAAGGAGTACTAATAAAGAGCTCTGTGTATCTACAGGGGTATAACGCCATATAATCCGTTGAAAGTCAACAGACGTTTCGAAGAATCATATGCCTCCATCATCAAGGTGGAAGAATGAGCCAAGTAAGAAACCAACATCAAACAGATTCTGCTTGCTGCCTGCTTCATGCTGGTTTCTTACGTGCGTTATTTTTCGACTGTAATGACGGAGCCGACATGTTTCGTCGAAACGTCGGTCATCTCCGAATGGACTACATAGCTTTATATCCCGGAAGATGGAACTCTTTTAATCACTGCTGTCAGAACCTCGGCTCCTGAAAGATGTGATGTTAGTCCACACTAACTTAACTTGGAGATCTGTAGCATATTTCAAGATTATTTGAATAAAAACTGACGAATCAGTTTCATGGTATAAATTAATTTCTGAGAATCTGACAGTCTCTCAGATAATCAAGAAATTCTTCACCGCTTATTCACCCACTTTTATCTAGGTCTTTGAATTGGTCTAATTTATTTTAAGTTTTACCGACTAAAATCTCATTTTACCCATTGTAATCTACACATTTTTTCCAGATAATCCTACTAAATTTTTATAAATTTATTAATATTAGTTGGAGAGTTCAAATTATATATCTCCTTAACCCATTTTACTTTGTTTCTCGGGGTTCTAACTGCTACCCTCAGCATCCTGTTATGGGACACCCTAAAACATTTCCCTTAGGCCGAAATACTGAACTTTGGATGTAGCTTGATAAAGAAGTTACAATAAAATAAAATAATTAATAACCCAGTCAACGTAGAACACTATCAAAGTATATCAGTTCTTTCATTTTACTTTTATAGATAACATGCTTCTAATACTGCGACATTTTTCGACCCATATTATACCATCTTCAGGGTTATTTTACAGACATTATTATAAGTGTGTATACTTCAATGGTGTTCTACGTTAATTTATATAAGAGCATGCAGAGAAAATGAACGATATTAAAATAATTAATGTCTCTTTGCTGTAGATATGCATATCCGTGTAATTGTAATGCAACGTTTGTATACATAATATTCCGCTGAAAAAATGTAAAACACTTATTCGGACAGTAATTTTCATTATTAGTATAGCCTAATAAAATACACACCCAAAATAGTTTAAATTTAACCAGGAATCACTCTTCATCTTTGAGGAAAATTTAAACAAATAACAAAGAAAACTTATTTAATCTTTTAACGTCATTCTTTTAAGCATTGCCCAGTGTTCAAATTTCTTTCAAAACCGGAATAACTCAGTCGGTATAGTGAAGTGTTACGGGTTGGACGAGCGGAGTTTGATTTCCGGAAGGGACAAGAGATTTTTGTCTTTTTTCCGCGGCGTTCAGACTGGCTCTGGGCTCACCCAACCTCCTGTCCAGTGGGTTCCGGACTCTGTTTCGCCGGGGTAATGCAGTCGAAGCTTGAAGCTGACCACTAATTCCCATCCAGTGTGAAGGTTAAGAATCTTTTAGATATGCTTGTATTCTTTTCCTTTGCGTGTTTATGGCTTGATGCTTAATTAATTAAGTACAAGAAAACTTTAGGGTTATCACTAAATTTTGAAAATTAACTCAATTTCCTTCATGAATCAGCAGGTTAGGATGGAAGAAAATCTGTTCTCATGTGTACTTGGTTAGAGATACTCTGAAACCATAGAACATGATTCTGACAAAGCCAGAATATCTTAAATATTGTGTCACACCATAGCCAACAGACATTAAAATTAGTTTAAGAATCGTTTACCTTCTCGCACATAATTTGATGTAAACAATCATGTTGGACGCTCCTTGAATATGCTGTTCGTTCTTGTTGAAGGCTGGAGCGCACCTGAGAACCGGGCGGACCGCAGAGCTGCAGAGGGAATTCCGGCCAGCTCCTGCGGTCACCTGTCGGCGGCCCTCACATCTGCACTGCTGGACAGGTGAGGCTTCTTGCGGCGACCTCAGCAGCACTTCAGATACTCATTAATTTGTCTTCACCATAAATCATCTGTAGTTACACTTCCGCTTTGAATGCTAGGGATCGTGGGTTTAGTATGAGCTGTCTTGACCTAGGTCTTTTTCACTTTGTTTGCGTCAATTTAAGTGAGCGGCTTGCAAATGAACAATTGTCATTAGATAAAGTTTTCCCTGCGTTTAATTAAATAAGCACTACGCCATGAAGATGTATGAGGGAGTGGAGATACAGTTCCACTATTCTTAACCTCGGTATTAGATGAGGTGAGTTGTCAGCTTCACGCCCCGACCACTTTACCCCAGGGAAGAAGCAACCAGTACACACTGAAAAGGAAGCTGGGTGTACCTCAGAGGCTTTCTGGTCGCTGTGGAGAAAATAGAAATCAGTTGTTATTAGATAAATTAAAAAAAGACAAGGCTCATTCTGCAAGACAAGTAGCACTGAGCGCGTATGCTTCAAGTTGTATGCGTGTATTGCAAACTGCATGTTCCAGCTAACTAAATATTTAACCACGCATATGTAGCTTAGCTTATGACAGTGAAATTTCGTACATATATTGGTTATAGAAGTACTTAACACATTGTAAATTAAACTTGTTTAAGTATTACCAATCACAAAAGTAAAGACGATGTGGAAATTTGAAATTATTTCTGAAATATTTAGATTGGTATACAAATTGAAACTATGCATAGAAATGGATCCATATTTCACTATTATTATATACAGTGAGTATTCTCGATAGGACAGCCATGAGAGGCGTTTATGTTTTGTGGATCGGTCCGACTTGACAGTACACTGTCCGACTCTTCTGCCTCATAGCGGCCTCGACTAGGAAATAAACTCGTTTTAGTTATTGCCTCTCCACATGATTAAAGCGAGTGGAAGAAAAAAAAAGCATAATTTCTTATCAACCATGCCAATAGCACAGGGTGTTAGTCGCTGGGTTCCCACTGCGGCGGCTCAGGTTCGAGCCCGGCTCAGATCATGTGAGATTTGTGGTGGACAAAGTGGCACTTGGGCAGGTTTTCTCCGAGTACTTCGGTTTCCCCTGCCAATCTTCATTCTACAAATTGCTCCACAATCACCCTCACCTATCATCTGGGGCTGGTACAATAGGCCAGAAGTGGCCGCAGTACGACCCCACTAGCAATTAAAAAAAGGTATAGGCTTCGTGTAACTTCTAAGAAAATTGGCATTATTGAAGAAAATTCTCTGTCGGGACAACTGGACATCTCACCCAAAAGCAGGACGTCTGGTGGCTTGAAACTGAGGTAGCCAGACCGAGGCTTGTCTGCATATGTCTCGGGAGCTAGTTCTCCGGCGCGCTGACGGCAAGAAGAAAGCAAGTCTTTCGGCCAGGCCTTGGAGACACGGCGCATGAATCATCTGGAAACCGCCGGACGCAACATAATGTAAATAGCTTGGGAAACATTACAGCAGCATTACAGGGCGTCGGTTGGACTCATTTAGCTAACAAAGTGGACAAATGGAGGGTTCTGGTGAATGCGATAATGAACCATCGTATTACCTGTTTTATTGAAATTCTGAGCAACTCTAAGATCCTCAATAGCTCCGTTAAATAATGGAAAGATTTGTAAAAAATATGCAAATAAACATTATTCCTAAATCATTTTTTATCTTCCTTTCCCCTCTTCGTAGGTAAAGGCAGGTTTAAGGCATCGTCATATCCGAATACCCGTGTGACTCTCCCCTCTAAAAATTTTGAACCAGTTTACGAGTTCTCATGAAAGTTCGCTACGAACAAAATGCCGCTCCAGTATTTTATACTCAAGTCTATTTCTTCCAAAAGTAATATTGCCTACAGTATTTTTGAAGGTACANAAACACGCCTAAAACATGGGACAATATAAGACGGTGTTTTCCGTGGGGTCCACCACGAAGCTATATAATGGGAAGTTCCAAGGGAGCAGTTATATATCCCAGTGTGGATCCTCTACCGTGACCCTTCGAGTCGTAGGAGGCGACGAAAGGGGAAGTCTCAAATTTGAGACAGTAAAATATGGTCGCGAGTTCCAAGAGACTCGGACACGAGAAATACTGCGCTGGCAAGGGCGAGCAGCATATGCAAAAGACAAACCCGTCCTCTTGTCAGAGAGGGCGCTCAACAAAACAAGGCCGTAACTGTCAAACGGTAATAATTATTATCTGGGGCTCGATACAAAGGCTTATTGACTGACTGACTGACTGACTGACTGGCCGTCAGTCGGAATGTGACTTTGGCTTTGACTTTGAGCAGTTATTTGTCCGAGGTTGGAAGAATTCACTTGAAGAAGAGTTCATTTTAGAGAGATGTTGCCGAGAACTGAGTTGAGTTCTGGAGATGGCAGTCGAAAGTGATTAAGAAGAAATAGCAAGAAATAATTTAGACTATGTAAAGAAGACTTAATATGTAATTTGAAGTTACAGTGAGGCTGTTGTATATCCGTTGCCAGGATACGACTAGTGAAGACTGGAAAACCCAGTGCTTGTGTATCCGTGAACTGTAATGTGTGTAGATGAGCGACAGCGCTGTATTACCTGTAGTTCCGAATTTTTTGTATAGGTGTCAGTATATCCGATCGTCCAGTTCAAACCCCGTCTGTAATCACACCTACACGTGACATGGATCACTAGTCCCTGAACATACAATTCTTATTGTGTTGTTACTAATACCGAAATTACAGTAAGTAGCGGCCTTGTGACGGGCTGATCAACCGCCCAAGAATTCCTACCGACTGCCTATATGATTTTTTTTATTGCTAGTGGGGTGGGACTAAGTCCCTTGTACTGCGGCCACTTCTGGCCTATTGTACCAGCCCCAGATGATAGGTGAGGGTGATTGTGGAGCAATTGGTGGAATGAAGATTGGCAGGGGAAACCGAAGTACTCAGAGAAAACCTGCCCCAGCTCCACTTTGTCCACCACAAATCCCATTTGACCAGACCCGGGATCGAACCCAGGCCGCCGCGGTGGGAAGACAGCGACGAACCTCTTGAGCTGTGGCGCGGGCCTTTAAAATATCCATGCTTTGTGTGGGATTCGAAACCGGCTTCCGAGCTAGCGAAGACAGTACATGCCTTAGACCGCTCGGCTACCGTGACCGGCGCCTATATGATTTGGAATCTGTATAAGAACACAGGACGAGTTTCATCATGGACTCTAGCGCCGACGGGATAAGAGCCGTAGGTCTCTCACATACGCCATTTTCTTGCCCTTCGTATAGTGCTACATTAAGATAAGAATCTTACAAATTTTCATTTTAACGCTTTTACTTAACGTCATTAACTCCATATCTCATAAACTAAACCGGTGGGATAGTCCACTGGCATGCATTATATATATGTCCCCATATTATATGGCTCTGAAGGGTCATTCCCGCATTAAAAAAAACCCCTAAGTCTTCCTTGTCCCGAGCCAAATGAATCCAGCCCGCGCTTTCTTATTGTTCTTCCATCCAAGCCAGGATTTCCCATGTTGTCTTTTCCCTTGAGCTTTAAGGACTGCGTACACTTTTGCACGTGTACGCATTCTCATCTCGTCATGAACGCTACACTTTACGTATACACACCTCATCTTACTTTCATTTCAGCAGCATTATTCATATAAAATATTTGAAATATGTATATTTCAGTAGCGAATTTAAAATCTTTATTTGTGACCATCGTATTTTTCATTGTGTCACCGTATTGCTCGGAGGCCTACAGGTATAAACACTTTGAATAATTTGAAAGTAATATAACGTGCGTTCTAGAAAATTTAAATATTTACACAGGAATATCATAAACAACTGCAAAAGTGAACATGTATCATACAGAAAAGTTTAGGCTGTTTATAGTTTTTATTGTGTTATTCTAAATGCGCATGTCTGTACGATATTATAATTTGCATGACCTATGCGACTTTCTTTGTTTTGTAAATGCTGTCGTCCATATTCAGTAACAGTAATTACGCAGAAATTTTACCTCCTGTAGCTTATATTTTTTTGTAATGTCATTAAGGCAAAATTTATTATGCTTATGTTTGCATGATTATATCTCCGAAAATCCTTGATATCCAAGACAATAAAGCAAATGATATTTCAAAAAGTTAAGTATGGATAATTCCTTGAAATGAACGGTTGTTTTGTGTGTTTCACATGAGCCGTCCGGGTCTAGAACTCATGATCCTTTAGTTGTCTATTGTGTGAAAGATGCACACATTTTGATAAGTAATTTAAAATTTGGAATAAATTTCAAATATAACACACCACTCTAAAAAAATCCTCATGGAATACATGCAGGACCCTTTTAAGATTTTTTAGGTGTTAGGTACTCTGACTTATAATTTTAGAACATAATAGAGAAACCAACCAGACGGCTTCGCAATGCACGTCGTAATCAGGGAGGCATAAAATGTCTGCAGCTATCAAAATATTTGTTTCGAAATTTTGACACAGTTAAAATACATTCTCATATACTTATTAATCTGTGGGTTCTACGGTTCATGATGAATTTTGGTCTCTATTTTTACAGTTTTTAATCATATAGACAGTCTCTAGGACTCCTTGGGTAGCAGATTAGCCCGCCATAGTTCCGCTACCTACACAGGACAACACAAACACAATGAAAGCAGACAACATTCATGCTTCGAGTGGAATTGTAACCCACGACCCCAGTGTTCAAGCGGGCGAAGACAGTGCATGCCTTAGACCGCTCGGCTACCGTGACCGGCAGTGTATAAGAATAATATATAAGAATTCAGTTCGTACCTCACATGAAACATCCGATCCCACAATCCCGCCTTCCGAACGAGCGAAGACAGTTCATGCCTTTGACCGCGCGGTCACTGTAATCGACACGTCCTCGTGTATGGGGCATAATAGTATCTGTACTTTGTTACTATTGTAAAATCAGACGTAATATGGTCATTTTGTTTGTTTCATAAGCCTTCTTGATAAGCTTTAGTGTACAATTCATAATTCAGAAA